TAAATAATATTTTTGTAATTGCAACAATCGAGTTATTTTGTAATATTCAAAAAGCTAAATGTAGCAATTTGATTTGTCTATTTCAAATTGAAATATTGTAGTCACGGCTTGAACCTTATGAAATATTTGCTACTGCAAAATCAGAGTTCAGTAAGTCATCACGAGTGGAAATGCAGCGAGACGGGTCTACGACTAGAGCTTATGACTGGAGACAGTTGACAGGACCGTAGTTGTAGCCGAGCTGGCCCTGGTGAGAGCTGCCATCATGGAACAACCACTTCATGAGAATAGACTCCAGGAGAATAATAACATGCCATTCCATCAGAGTAATACATGGATTTAGATATACAGGAACGTTTGACTGTTACATATATCAGTGCTATAGCGACAGCCTACTGCCTTTGCACATACAATATGTTTTATTGTGCTATATTAGCATTGAAAAATAGTTATGTAAAGATGAAATAATTATTTATATCAACGGATTTTTATTCCAAGATATACAGATGTAGATTTGTTAAAATATTAATTAATATTGTTGTGGCGTTGTTCCAAGATGATTTAAAGTAATGCACCACTGGGAGCTGTAGATGAAGTCGCTGGCGCCAGAAACGTTAAGAAAAGACGTCCCTGTAAGTTATTATTCACGAAGATTTCGTTTTCTCAGATGTATGTGTACATGTTTACATTGTGAGGACCGTTTTGGACATGACATTAAATAATGTGATATGTTTACACATTAAATATATAGCGTCATATCGCTTTCATGATATTAAGTCCCATATAATCTTTTCCTCATCTAATATCAACATTGCCGAAACGTATAGTTACAAAATAATTTATCCATATAGAATAATAATTAAATATTTCAATTCTGAATTACTTTCAAACTTAGTTATAATTGATGGACATCTTTGTTGTCATCTGCATCAGTATTATTTGGCAACGTCAGCAGCATCGACATTCAGAGGAACTCGGGAAGTTCAGATGCAAATACATACATATTCAGAATCCATTCGGATTAATGAAACTTGGTTGAGCACACAATATTGGCTCTTTAAGACGACGGAAAAGATTTTGTAATTTACTGAAACGTAATATGTTCGCGGTGTCAAAATGGCCCAATAATGCAAGGAAAGGCAGTACCAGCATATTTCTATTAGAACTTAAAACGATATTTTCATAATTCTTAATACTATAACATGATACGGATACAAGGATGTGTAATGCATAATTAAATTTAAACAAATTGTAAATTGCATACATAATTATTAATATGGTATTAAAGCGTTTACATTATGTAAAATTGTAAAACGTAATCAAGATTTGTTGAAGGGAAACGAAGTAATCCATGTTAAAACCACTTGAAGAAATGTTTGGTGTTAAGCGAGTAAATACTTTGGCTAAAATCATCTAGGCTACTATACTCAGGTGTCCTGTACAAATTTGTTTAAACAAAAATTGTAGATTTTTAAAATACGATCGACATGATCTGACTATGGAATTTTATATTTCCGAAAATAAATATATTTATCTACATAACATTATTTATATGGAAAACATGTACAACTCTTTAACCAGATTCAGCCTCTGTTGAAATAACATGGAGCAGTCAACAGAAATGCATTGAACAAAATAACAGATTATTTACAAAATATTGTTGAAAAAACAAGGAATGCATAAGCGGGAACCATTGTTGACTAGTGGTAGTATTCTTGGTTGATGTAGTCGTAATATTGGTCGGGGATGTCTATGATGTTCTCTACGTTTCATTGTTGGCTAGTGGTTGTATTCTTGGTCGGTGTAGTCGTAATATTGGCCGGGACAACGTTGATGGACAGTTCAATACGTACACGAAAGGGGCAGAGTCCTCGGTCCGGAGTCTGCTGGTGTCGAATGTCACATCTACACTTCTTCATCACAGACACACAGACACTGACACTGTGTGTACAGACATTCAATACAGACGCCATCAAGGTAGGGCTCCGAGGGTCGCGGTGACTCCTCTGATAGGGGGCAAGGAATCTACACGTCTTATACGGGTATAGATGAAGATCAATATAGAACATGCACTTGCAATAATTATGTTCACTTCAAACAAGTCTACTAATTGTGGTTAAAAGGGTCATATTGATGTTTACACGGACCTTGAATAAATAACACAAGTGGAAGATATGTGAGCTGCATGTTTATCGGTAACGAATGACTATGTGTAGTTGTCATTGATTTAGGTTACCTGACCTATATATCACAGTTCAACTTTTGTTGCTGTTGTTGACAGCTGGCGTATTGTCATGGGAAAACCGATCACACTACTTATGCAGTTTCTATACATTGTTCCAAATGCCTGCATAGTTATTTTTCCTCTGTTTCTTCTGTTTCCATGGTTACCGATGTACTAGGCGTCCTGCATCCGGCATCCTTGCATGGCCAGGTGCTTGTTCAGTTTCCGGCATTAAGACGCCATGTCTATTGTTGTCATGATAATATCAAGGTATTGTGTTTATTTGCACATCTACCCCATTTAATGATACCGTTTGTTACCCTGATGTACACATCGAACCCCGAAGCTCCATGTTGTTAGGTACCCTGATATGCACATCGGCCCACCCCCAACCAACAAGCTCAGGTTGTGTGCTGTCAGTTCCCGTCCCTACCCTGTTCCTTTGATGTGTACATTAGAGAAACCCCATACCTGCATAGTAACCCTGATGTGCACATCGACCCCCACCCCCAGAGCCACCACGGCCATCACCCCTACCATGCTGTCAGTTCCCATGGTTACACGTCATACCCAGTTACCATTATGTGCACATCGACCCCCACCCCCACCTCCACCACCTTCCCACACACGTCCTATGGCGTCAGTTCCCATGGTTACACGTCATAGTTAGTTACCGTTATGTACACATAGACCCCTAGTCTGTCTCACAGTCCCTGAACCACATTATTTTCCCTACTGCCAAGCTCTCTCTGCAGTACTAAAGCCCTAAATAAAGCAAGTCTAGATTTCCTCAGGTTCAGGTTCTGAATCTCTGGTCTCCCTGGGGCTCCTTTTCAATTTAAATGGGCTTGTTTGTTACTATCAAAATTATATATATTCAGAGACTAAGCGTTAGTCTAATAGACCCCAACCCCCACCATCCCTACCCTAACACCCTCCCACACACGTCCTGTGGCGTCAATTCCCATAGTTGAACGTCATACCTAGTTACGGTTATGTACACATAGACCCCCACCCCAACACACACGTCCTATGGCGTCAGTTCCCATGGTTACACGTCATACCTAGTTACCGTTATGTAAACATAGACCCCCACCCCCACCCCAACACACACGTCCTATGGCGTCAGTTCCCATGGTTTCACGTCATACCTAGTTACCGTTATGTACACATAGACCCCCACCCACACGTCCTATGGCGTCAGTTCCCATGGTTACACGTCATACCTAGTTACCGTTATGTGTACATAGACCCCCACCCACACGTCCTATGGCGTCAGTTCCCATGGTTACACGTCATAGCTAGTTACCGTTATGTGTACATACGTTATAGGTGTACCCCCACCCTAACACACACGTCCTATGGCGTCAGTTCCCATGCCTACACGTCATACCTAGTTACCGTTATGTGTACATCGAATTACATGCCGCTAATTACGTGTGATTGTAATGCATGTGGAAAATATCCATGACATAAGAAACCAAATACAAACACCGCCGATGTCGAAGGGACATACATAACGACTTCGACTTATCCGAAGTTCGACACAAACGCAAAACAATGTATGAAGCACACGGGCTTGTAACGCTAAACACTGCCAGGTATATACTGTCACTGACGGGGTCTTACTACTATATAAATAAATAGTAGTAAGACCCCGTCAGTGACAGTATATACCTTAATGGCAGTTTTTAGCGTTACAAGCCCCTGTGGTCTGAAGTAGGAATACGCAGGGAGTTTCGCTTCGAGATAACTGTAGGTTCAACTCAAAGACCGTCACAACGGTGTTTGATTGTACCTTGCACTGGTATATAATAAATGCCTTAATTTAATAATAATATAATACAATAACTAACAAATGAATTTAGATTTTTCTGTTCGTTTTCGGTTGTTGGTCACAAGCTTGAGTCGGTGACAACATCGGTGACGTTTTCGGGACGGGTTTCCGTAGTACGGCGTCCTGCCCCTCAGATATGCGAGTCCCCCCTCTTGTATTGTATAGGGGTACAAAACCCGAGGAGAGGGTTATTGTCACGTTGGGAGGTGAGAGTGGCGGCGCATATCTTCCACAAACATACACATGCTGTACAGGGGACGCACGCATGCTAGCGAATTGGGATAAAATATGAAAATTAAGTCATATCGATAACAGATTCAGGGCTTGTTATTGTGCCAGTACTTGATAGAATATCGTTTGCACTTTGTCCGAAAGGAACACCCTTGAAAAATAGACCTCGTTATCAACACGGAGAAGAACTGAAGACAAATAGTTGCACGAGCAGGGAATCACCATGGCAACCAGAGGTGTGAGATCAAAGCGGAATATACGACGGGGTCATAGGGTAACCGTATTGGGAGTCGTAGAATAGTCCTCAGATCGGATTCAGTGTATCTCTTCAATACACGATTTTTTACCATCAGGACCCGCCATGTTTTGGGTTCGCTGATTAAAGCATACGCTTGCACTACCGATATACGAGAATATAGATCCGCAGCTAGGCCGGCTGATGATTCAGACAACACAGATGGGCGTTTTGGTTAATGATATATGATCCTGTACAAATATTAACTTGAATAAACTCACTTTACGATCTCAGCTGCTGGAAACAGTTTTACGGCGCTTTTTCAATATTCCAGCGATATGGCATGGGACACTAAAAGGGCTTCACACATTGTACCTATATGAGAATCGAACCCTTCTTCGGCGTGAGGAGTGAGCGCTTTAGCCACTAGCCTACCCTGCCCCTGGGAACAGTTAAAATCAAAACAACATTTATTTTCATAAAACAACGATTTATTCACTAACTCAAAATTTCTTGAGTCACACTAAATATATTAAAAGGTGCTTAATGATCATCGCTTTGTTTGCACCTTCAGGTGCCATAAATAGAGAGAAATGACAAAGAAAACAAGGTATGAGTACAGGTGTAAGTTAATACTACATTGCAGATCCGGTCACGTGGCGATTATAATTTACAATTGATGGACAGGGCATTTCGTTGTCGCTACAAGGTAGCATTGGGCGACGACGACGTCGCAAGCTCATGTGGACGTCGAGACGGTGTCGTGATGGCGGGCGGGGTGACGTTGTGACCGTTATAATACTGGTGGTATGCCCGGGGTCCTAGCTTGCCCGTGGTGGGCATATAAGTCTCTGAGTATATACAGGCTTCTTACACAATATCCCTGTCTGAAGGTCTTGAAGGAGGAGGGCACATCGATGGACGACACCGACTGTGATGTAGTGCACATATAAATAATGGTGTTCCCACCGGGGCGGGAACTTGCACGTTTCGCTGGGCTTAGAGGTTGGAACGAAACACACAGACGGGTAGGATTCCTGACGTCACAAGGATGACGATGACGTCACTGGTCACAAGACTGTGGTACACAACATCTCTTGTCGATTGTCTGGCAGTGATCGTGCATTTCTGGACTTCACACGAAGCACGGACTTCAACCGTGCTGTGGTGCAACTCAACGAAGGTTGTTCCTGTGGCAACGTTGCCACCAGACTAGCTTAGTTTCTGGTGACGGAAGTCTCGAAACCTCACTTGATAAATGTTCACGAAGTGTCTCTTTGCACTGTTCATAGAACTTGGAACTTGGGCCAGGAGGAGGTTGTGTCTTTGTAGTCCAAGCAGTCACCATGGTTACCTCTTGAGAGCGTTTGTGCAGAGGGTAGGGTACCGTATGAGGTCATTTGGTTCCCGTGTGTGTTGGACATGCTGCCCATACCATTGGGCATCTGGTTGGACATGACCGGGAGCTGCATCTGACTCAGATAGTCCATATTGCCATAGTAGGACGAGTGGCCATAGCCCTGGGGGTTATACGAGTGTGCTTGACCGTTGCTCATAGGGTAGGAGCGTTGCATGCAGCTATTATTGGACATGAGTTCGTTCATGGGTGGCATCGATGCTGCTGGGTTCCAGATGGAGGTTGCAGCGTTGAGGGAGCTGCCGTTAGGAGGTGTGGTGCTGACTACTGGGGGTTTGTAGGTGACTGGAGATGGTGCCTGGGGTGGGGGTGTCTTCGGCTCCTTCTTGGGGGACTGGGATGTCTGGGGTGGGCTAGGCTGACCCCCCTGTTGCTGTTTGGTCTTCTGTTCCTGAGCCTTTTGTTGCTGCCTGCATTTGGCGCGGCGGTTCTTGAACCAAACCTGCAAGATAAGGGAGAATGTGAGAATCGAAGCAAACAGTCAAACATGACATGGTTGATACAGGTGCGGTCAAACATCACCATCACAGGTGTTGAGGAAAACAATACTTCACAATGATTGCATAATTACAAACAAGATGCTCACACGGTTGATGATAATCTCTCACTGATAACAAAATACAAAGAAGGACAAAGTCCAGGATTAACTCCTTATCAAAGATAGAAGTAAGCATTTAGAACAAAACAATCATGTTCTACGAATTTATCGCCTAAAGATATGCAGCGGTACCCACGTGTAAAAAGAATGGTCATGATCGGGGGGAGGGGCGGACGGTGACTGGAGTGGGCACTAGAGCCAGGTAGGGGACAGGGGTGGTATAGCTTGGGGCAGAGAAATACAAGGGTCGGGATTTCTAGTATCACTAAAGGAATTCATACCCTTAACAATAAAGTGTTTTTGCCGTCCGCTGCCTTCACGGGTGTAAAGGATTAGTGTTATCGTGTACAGGGCAGCAATTAACACACGGGTAAGATGGCCAACTAGCAAGTTTCAGTTGGAGTCTGGTTGGCAGTGAAAGAAAGTATTACAAAGGGTAGTTTTCAAGAGGGTGGACGGGCTGGGCGAAGGCCCCCTCAGGGTCGGACCATTAGGAGGTGTTTACAGGGCCTAATTGACTTGTCCAAAGTAAGTGTACACACCACCCCTAGGGCATACATACCAGGCCAGGGCTGACCAGTCTTGCATCAGACCCGTCAAGGGAGACAATGTCCACATCCTACCCACTACACGGTCAAACAAAGACCAGCTCCAAGAAACTGGTTATCCTTACACAATTAATTTTTACCCTTCAGCGAAGGGCATCATTGAAATTGTCCCTATCAAAACAAACCCCCATTAATACGTCATGGATGATTGTGTTGTTCCACTGTTATCGAAAATATACAAAATATGCCGCCGGGTTTCTCAGTGCAGTCTGTGAGGCGATGTTTTGGGGATTTTTAGCTAAACGTTGTTTTGCAGCAACCAGTTCATGAGATGATAATGTGCGACAGATTAGCACTAAATGATGTGTAATTGCCGCGTGGGGGAGACTGTGATCCCTGCCTATTACATTAATGAAGCGTTGATGAGTGATTAGCGATATAGGACCCACAGCGGCATATTCAGGGGTGGGGCGGGGAGGGATGAGGGGGCTCGGTTACCCTAGCTCTTGGACCAGATGGTCCCTACTGTAGAAGACGTATCAGACACCAGCGGTTAAACTAGGCATTAACTTGTAACAGTCTGTCACGTCCCATCATCCCGTTGTTTGATTTCATTATGAAGACGTCAATATAATGATAGAAATATTAAACACTGGTGATCCCCGTTTGTTTAATGCATTGTGTGTCGGTTATCCCTCTAAGAGATACGGACAGCTAGTAGAGTCAGTGTTTACGCGATTAGAGAGTTAAATGCCGGCTTACTCGTTTAATTATCATCAGATATTTCCGGGGTCTATGGTTCCTGAAGAGGTGGGACAGAAGGGGAAACGATAGTCGATAGGGATAGCATCAGCTTATATTTACCTGGACTCGGGATTCGGGGAGGTTGATCTTAAGGGCGACTTCCTCTCTCATGAATATGTCGGGGTAGCGTGTCTTCTGAAATAGGCCTTCAAGAACGTCCAGCTGGGCGCGGGTGAAGGTTGTCCTCTCACGTCTCTGTTTCCTTGGATTACCGCCTGGAGAAAAAAATACAAAATAATTAGTGACCATAGCGAAAGATAAATCTCATTCCACGTTGCATGAAGAATACCCCTTTAATCTTTCATTTCTCCTGATTGGAAGTGTCAAACTACGTAACGCCCATTCTGTGGTGCTCGTTGCTTTCTGACACCTTACACAATGCATTGTGAAGACGCCATGAAGATGTCTTCGGTCTATACAATCTATGCACGTTTACCTGCTGAATGATCTACATATTCCCCTGATTCCGTTTGAATCATTCAACACGACCTTTTATTGTGTCATAAATCCTTGAAATTGCCATTTCGATTTCTATAGAATTCTGTTGGTTTTTAGGTTGTCCCCTACACATCTTAAAAAGCCGGAATCTTTGATGGAAATAAATGAGCCATGGAGTGAATGAGTGTAAAATTGCTTCCATTAAATCGAAATTTATCTGTTTGCTTTGCCAGTTGAATGCCGGGAGAGAGACGGACTGGGGACAGTGGGGCTCGTGACTCGCAACTCCGATACATCCGGGCTTTAACTACCGCATGCAATAATAGTTTTAATCACAGATACACAACAGGGCTAAATTGACAATTTCAGTATTTTGTTAATACTGGTCCGGAGACAGTGATATGGGGTGGGGGGGCGCGTTCCCCGTCCCCATCAAAGGCCCCCCTTCAATCTGCCCAGTGCACAAAAGCGCCCATCAACGTTGCCAGTAGCTTCGCTTGCCCGTGGAGTACCTTCCACCCACCCTCAGCGAGTCTATCTCATAAAAATGCAATTTTCTTTTCAGTTAGGCTAGGCAGTTTTAAATGGAAGTCGTGACTGGATGAATACCCGTGTTCAGAGCTGTAGGATCTCATGCCGGGCCTACCGACAACAACGCACTATTGACGCGAGTTTATTTTTCCTGCAAAACGTGTGAATTGGCAGAGCCCTACCCGTCTTTGAACGGCAGATGGGAACAGAGTCTTCGACGCTGTAATCCCCGATACAAAAATAGAAATTTGGGAACAGTAATGTTTGGATCGGGGAAACCGAGAGAGAGAATAGGTTAACATGGGATTAGGAAAACTGTCAACAAAAGTGTGAAGAGCCACTAGGAGTGTGGACACCATTACTGCGGATTACAACCACAGTCAACAAAGTCCCTCAAATAAAATATGTCGTACCGTATTAACACTGGGTCACTAAATCCAACAAGGAGTCTATATCAGGATTAAGAGAACGCACGTCAATCAAACCCTAAGCCGATCTTTGACATTTGTAAATATTTCAACCAAACTGTTTGAATAAATATTAATAATATAAATAACGGGGAAAATAAAACAGATCTGTGATATATTTTTAATATTTATACTGTTATGGTTTTGATTTTGATTTGACCGAGGTTGAGATTTTGAGGTCACTGATAGCATTGAGAAAGTTTCTAACATGACAGTCCTTCGTATCCATTCTTCTTTCAGGTGAAAGTCAACAATACGGCTTTACCTGCCGCCCAAACACGGACATAAAAGGTATGAATGTCTCACAGTAATGGGCACCTTACACCCAACCGGGCCTTCTTTCAACCCGTGTCTCAAACCCTCTAACCCGCTACTGCTAGAATTGCTATATAATTACTTCATTGACACCTTACTATAGAACTCGCCTCGCCTCGTTGTAGAGTCCTAACATAGCTTTTCTCACAGATCCCCTAACACACAGACACAAACACTAAAAATTTTAACTTGTAAATAGCGGAATATTCGGATGATTTCCTTGGAATCAATCGTTTAATTTGACGAAAATATATTTATTTATTATGAAAGGATATAATTTTTGTTACAATATTTGAAAAATATATAATTATCAATTTAGAAATAATTCTGAATAATAAACGATGTTAGTTTGGGTGGCGAAAAAATAAGGTTTCCTTACCTTGGTAACCCATCGCTGGGTGCAGGAGGTCCACGTTGGGGGAGGTCAAGCTGATGCCGTTGACGGAGTAAGGGTTGCCGGCCTTGGACATGTGAGAGGAGGATACGGGTGGGTAGGCCATGGAGGCCATCCTCAGATCGTCCGTGGGGAGAGAATCCAGTGTGGGGATGAGACCACGTGACTCGGTGGTGGGGGTGAGGTAGCGATCGGACCACACTGCAAGAGAAGCCGGACAGTCAGCGGCGATGGTCGGGGTGCAGGTGGAGGGGTACAAGTCTGCGGGAGGGAGAGGAGGCACCGTGAGTTAAATATCACCAGGGTAAGGACACAGTCCAAAAGAAAAAAATAAAATCAAACTCTCGAAGCACCGGTACGCAGGTAATTCGGGTATGGCTGGAAATGGATGTTAACCCAGTGTTAAATGAGGGATTACATGCGTCGCTAGGTAGAAGCCGATCTAATGAAGCCTAACTCGCCCGTAATGAAGTGTAGCGGATTATCAACTGCCGTCTTAGCCGCGCCACCCAATGAAAATCCGCCTGTCAAACTGCTACATTTGGACACATTGTCTTACACGTAATCCGCCTTCCACCCCGGGGCCAAGAAAGCACCCCCACCCACAAGCTGGCACCTGCACGGCGGAGGTCTATCGCGACTTGTCCTTGTTACTAGCATACCTCTATAGCAACGCGATCACTGTAATTTACAACAATTCTATTTTTGACACGTAATTAAAAAGTTAAAGAAAAAAACAAAGGACTGTTACTATTTGTAATAATCTCGTAAAAATTAGCAGTATTAATTTGATGGGAGACTTATCAAGGCAACAATTGAACGATGTGACACTGGCGTAATAGCCGTAATAGCCATTTGCACGTTCACGCTGTGTCAATACGGTCCCGCAATAACACGATAACATGAGATAAGCAAGAAGATGCAGAAACATCACAGATAGATCACATGTTTGTTTACATCCTTATCAGATACGCTGCAGAAGTACAAATACTCCCCCGACTGTACAATATTGAGACTGGGTGACTGTCTTGTTCCGCTACACTGTCAGATGGGCCGGTAATTTACATCTCGCCTCGAGCCCTGAACACAACGTGCCACGTGCCCGTGTCCAATCACCGCCTCAACACTCTACAATTATCACATTTTCCATTATTTCTTCTAAATTATCATCAACGTTATCATCGTCTTGACTTTACACATCATGCGAGGCTCGTGCAGCACGTGCAGTCGGTCTGACGCCGAGTCTGACCCGACCCACATATGCCTTAGCTTGTTAAGCGTAACATCGCCAAAGTTGTTGACAACCCATAACTATTTGGACACGCTGGGAAATAATAGTTCGGATACCCAGGTACAGGTAGCTCTGGGAGACCAGGTAGAAACTGAACACCCCACCTGTGAGCGCAGGGTGGTACCAGCGGGGGAGGGGCAGAGGTGGAGATGACAACATGGGCATGTCAGGTAAAAATCAATTCTGTATCTACAGATTTCGTGTCGGTATTCGCGTGGTATTGATCATGCCGACGTGTTGGGGGAAAAGACGTACCTGAGGCGACACAGAAACCTTAGTCCCCACCGTAACGCTTCCCTCGACATATGTGAACAAGTTGATCGAATTCACCAGCCAACTTAAGCTGTGTGCCTATACAAGCTCTCCCGACCCTACACAAGTCACAATAACTGCTATGCAAATACGTAACGATTTACATAGAAAATCAAATTGAGATCACATGTTTCAAAATGCGGTGACATTCTCGACCGGGCACATCAGCGTCGTTATTCACCAGTTTTCAAAATTTGTACGAGTCAATTTAATTGTGGTTTGAACTCAGACCCGATTTCACAGATTGAAATTAAGCAGCATATGGCTATGCGAAGGGCGGGGAGGGGCCAGGGTGTGCACGTGCATCACCCGACCCCCACCAGTCTCGCTCCCTCTAAGCCAACGCCGGGTAATATTAGGGTTTTCGACGTGGATCGAGTCGAGAGGGCCTGATGGTAGGGAGTGGGGTCCCCTGGGGTGAGAAAAGTCTTATCATTAAAACAACTAACTAAAGACGTCCCTGTCAACCTCTTGTCCTTGTGGCCTACACGTGTTGACAAGTTGTCAACAGCTGAGGCATATAGCAACTTTTACACATAATTGGATTTTATCGAATATCTGACAGACTACAATAAATTCCATATCAAACTCGATTACGACTGAAACATTCTAATCCGCAATTTAGAACAAGCAGAGATTTCTTACCACAATCAGTTGAAGGTAAATATACATAATAAGCACGGCTTTGTGTCGAAAACTGCCCAACTCGAACAAATTTTTCTGGCCCAATTTGTAGACTTCAAGCTTCAGCTGTGCATAGTCGATTACCCGTGATCCAATAAGCTATTCATGGGACTGTGTAATAATGTGTATATACACTGTCACAAGCTTAACGATAACAGGCCGGCTTCTCTCACAAGCCACGCGATGAGAGGGTCAGCGGTCATTCGTGGGACACTGGCTAGTTCTTATATCACGGGTGGAACTCCCTACTCATTTGTCCAGTCACTGATGACCATACTGGCATGCAAGCAAGCGGAAAATTAGCACTAAATAGCAAGCAGCGGGACGGAGGTTTTTCAATTATTAATACGGTTTAATGCAGCCTTGATAGCAAGCGGGGTAATATGACGTTCCTGGTGTCCACGATGTCGCTAGGAACCAGTTGGACAATGCATGCTCATGGGGCTGTCTTTTGTTCGTCGTTAACGTTGCAACGAGTACATTAAAGCTGATGAAACATATATAGTCCGATGTTACTGAGCTAAAAGAACTTCCTCTAATTAGCTATTTCAAAGCTATGTTTGCTTTAAAGAAGAAAAATACATCGACAGAAAGCTATCTGTGCCTCGAAATGGACACTTTCAGTTGAGATATTAATCTAACAAATGCATTTATAAAAAGCCAAGCTACACGTGAGACGAACGCGTGTTATAGCGATGTTGAGATCCGCTTCAATTTCATTTAGCGAAGCTTTGTTGTGAAGCTGGCGATTACCCCGGAGATGCTCTACCTTCAATCACTGCATCCAGTTCAATGTTGATGTATTAATCTAGTAAATGCTAGGACGAACGAGGAAGGTCTTTGTTGTCCCACCTGAAGTTACCTGACGAGCATTGATCGCTGCCAGACAAACTTCCAGAGTCATTAGACCATCGTCGAACAACCACCAACACTATTGCGAGTCATTTCTCGTCCCTATTACAACTTAATCTAACCTCGCTTTACAAATTCCCCAGACTCCCAGTGCACATATGCGCGCCTTAATTATCGGCAAATCACTCGAAACAGCATCTAAAGAGCAGCGGGTGATTTGAGCGTAAATTGATGAATTATTGGAGTAAACAATGACATATTTAATCATCAAGTCACGGCGATATGCAGGGACCGGAAGGACCCTATCGGCCAAATACATTACAAATATTTAAGGTCCAGATCTTAACACTCTGTGTTCGTTCTTAATTGCTAATCATATAGGATATCTAACAAAAAGTTCCATCTATAGGTGTCTGGGGTAGGATAGTAGATAGGTAAGTGTTAAGAAATACATACTCTTCATTTGGACAGTGCTTGTGGCCTGGTCGGCGGCAGGATAAGATGGGAAGGGAGCTGAAACAGGGGGAGATAATTCCGTGAAAACATACACAACAAAAATTGGGAGTAGGTTCTGAAAACATGACATGTAAAAATAAAAATTTCAAAACTAAAACATTTTTTACACTTTAGATTATTTCTGTAAAATTAACAAGATTAAATCCAGTATTTATTCATTAATTTTCACCCTGTTTCAGTCCTTCCTATTTCATATTGTAACATGTAAAATTATTTAAGCATATGATTAATGTCACACACATTTTTGAAATTATTATCCAAAGAAAATGTTTTCACCGGTGTGTGTAAATAGTTATAACTGGCTATGTCTATTACTTCAACATTAAAAGGAGATTGTGCTATTTTTTTTCGGCGAACGTGATGCGGATGTCTAGTCAACTGCTTGGACTTCCCATGGAAGACGGGCTTAGGAGGAAGACACACAACCTGAATATTTGCTTTTATCTTAATTCGCAACAAACGTAATTAGGTCGACATTATGGCATCGCTACATTCCCAATGGTATTTACCAGTCAGGTCAGAAATAAACTACATACAGTTGTCTATTCACTGGAAATGTGGGTTACAAATATAAATGTTTGTAATTTTCCTACATTTAAGAATAACTGTGTGAATATATGAAAGTGAAGTTCAATTTAAAAACATCTTATTTATAATTTTAACAGTTTGTTCGAACCAAAAGGGTCAAGTATTGCTAGTTGTTAAGAGCGACCGTTGTACATTGCGTAAAGCTTGGGTAAACAGTTGACCATCTGGACAAACTTGTGACAAGAAAACATTATGTTTACAAATCTGTTTATAGAAATAATCATAACAATAACAATGTATATGTGTTATTTTCATACTTGTTTGGGTTGACACGTTTTTGTATAACATTTTACAAAAACATTCCTTGAAGCGACAGTTTGCAATACAAAAATAGATTGTTTTGTATGGCGACAATTACATGCAAGCTAGCACGTGTTGCCAAAAAAGCGACTTATTATTGCTTCTATTTTTGCGAATAACTTCGCCATTATGAGATATCTAAAATTCAATTCACATTTCCGTATATCGCCATTATTTGAACCAAATATATATAAATTAGTAGATATTAAAACATTTGTAATTTTGAACTTGGACATATTTTTTAAAAACCCGATGCAGACACATCATGCTCATTTTCATGCGATTTGTTAGGGAGGTGTTTTTAAAATACAAATAACGTTGATAATATTTATAATTTCGTCCGAACCATGTGCAGAAATTCCTTCTTGTTCGCACGCCCCTAAATTCAATATACGTGGGTTCAAATAAAACTTGCCTGTATGTTGATGTATATATCGGGCACCCAGAACCATGCAAAGGTATTCCTTGTGAACCGCGTTCAGGTGGGCAGAGCAAACTACCCGTTACTTGGCGTTAGTGACTCGGGGGGACTATGCGGGGGTACTAGGCGGTGTGGGATGGGGCATTCCTATATAGGGGGGAATTCTCCCGGCGATGAGTTGTTATCATTATTGGACCTCAGAAGAAACAATACCTGTGTTCACCAACCCCCTTACCTGACTCACTCAGATAGCCTTAATTAGGGCCCCTTTGTCCCAATACAGCAATGTTTATACACCGATTTGGAGCAATTTTCAAAATACAGTTGTCACTAATTAAAGAATATTTACTAACGTGAGCACAATTAAAGTGTCATTTGTAGTTTAAAATATTACAGATAAAATTAAGGGGTAGATTATATTGATAGATTGTTGGAAAACATTTTAAATCGTTCAGAAATGATATTTTGATCACACGAAATGATATTTTAAACTGCGTCAATATCCGGGAACTCAAGTTCGTCATTATATTGACTGTGGTAATATCGATATTGCACGTGAACTGTGTCATGACGACCCAGGGTGGCGATGGGGATAGTAAGGGTGGGACAGCGTAATGTCTGACAGGGTGGAGGTGGGGGTCGGGCAGCCCGAGGGTCGGAGCCGGGGTTGAGTTCCGGGCCAGGTACCCGAGAGACAGTACATACGGAATATCACAAAAAACATTCAACTCACCTTTATAGGTAGAAATATCAGTAGCCAGTTTGATCGTTTTCTCCACGATAGTATCCAAGTTTTCTCGACCTGTGAAAGGAAATCCCGAATTCTGTGTTAGTTGCAATACGCAGAGCCGCGAGGCGAGTGACTCGCTCGGAGACAACCTCACAAGTGCAGTTTAACAGGGATTTCGGGGCTTAAACTTATTAAAGTAATATGTTGGATCGGAATGTGCAAAGCATTAAGTGAAGAAATGCCATTCCTAAAAGACTCGTACTTACTTTGTGAATGTGGCTTAGCACCGTAAAACCCGCTTACGTCTGATAAATGCGAACACTTCTGATTGATCACACAGCATCTTATCGCCCAAATAAATAATAATAGCCACGCCTTCAATTCCCCGCCTGTCCAATCAGCGCCCGCCATCAATTACAGCTGCGCCGCCATTGGCTGACAGTGACGAGCGATCATGTGACTGACAGCTTGGTCACGCCCCCTCCGCTGACTGAGAACAACTCGTTGCAATGTGTTGAGACTGAGAGACTTTCAAAGTTGCATCTACACATTGAATCTGTCTGTAATCTCCCTAGATTCGATTTAGCGCCATTGTAAGGAAGCCAGTCACACGTGTATCTTAACCTCGACGTTATTCCGTTGTGCAAACACACAGTCGACTTTTCTCTCGGTATTAAATGAAATAAGATCAACTACGATTTAAGTTGGTTAGAGGTTTATAATAAGAACTCAGTTTACGAACGAAATACAGTGTACGAGAAGGCCTGAGCTAGGATAGACGTGTATTTGGGAATATTCCATATTACAGTTGCGAAAAGAAAATGTCAAAACTCTGGGCTCTGTGACTAGATTATGAGGATTGTGTGTGTTGTGCTCTATGAAATACCGACTGCAGTACGATTCTACAACGGTGGGGGCTAGAAGGGACCTCTACTATTCTATAGGGGCCATTTCACGTGCTACATGCCTATCACAAGCTATAGAATCACCCAAGTTTGAGGAATGAATGCTTTATGCACAGGGGCCATTGATAAACAACAATACCACAACAATACAGTGTGAAGGCATTTGCAAGGCTTTCGTATTGGAACATACGGCATGAATAGCACCGACAGTTTCCACCGTGGGCTGGACCAGCGACTGGTCTCTCCTCGTTCTGTTAAAGAAACTGTATTATAATATTCCAATCTAACGGTTACCAGAGTGCTCAGTCACACCAGAACCTCCCATTCAGGATGGATAAACAAAGCAACATTCTGATACATTTTCTCGTGAACAATCCGCCGGCATATCCTCCTCATACTCGACATATCCTTCTTATACTCGGAAGGAATAGCGGTTCCTTATTAAATGTATTTGGATGTGTGATATTCCATTTATTCTACATTTATATAATTAGTTTTTAATCATGTTGTTATATTAACGATATCGATTAATAAATGTCATCAGACGGAGGATAACGACTGAAAAACGCTCCATGGATATACTGTTTCGCGTCAACGAGTAAATAGAAAAAAAGGTTGTTGGATCTACCTCTCAATAGTACTTTTTCACATGAGGATTATAAACTTGCCATTTTTAAAATCCTAATGTTACATAAATCAGCATATTTGAAAGGTTGCGGTAAATTATATATTTGTAATTCATAACATAGATTATGAGTAAGCGTACCTTACGAAATAAATAGACCATTAAGCATATACTTTGTCTCGCTGACTACAAAATACACGATAGTATGACGTTGCAGCCAAAATAGAATATTATTATATAACTTAAATAATTCATTCAATTATCATTTATTGTCAGAATCATGTCCTTTACTTTGCGATGTATTTCATTATTGTAAAAATACAAGTGGATTGTAATTATTCGGTAAAATCTCGTTCATCATGTATTAAATATATTCGGACAATGAAGTACAGCACGGTACTTTTGACATGGACTAAATATGTAGACAGGAATTGTATATATTGAAACATTGTACAGGTAATTCAGATTTCATAAACAAAGATATTTTACATTTAAAAATTAAATTTTAAACAACGTGGGTGTGTATCCCAAGTGACATAATCCTATAACATTAACTTAACAAGTTTTCTGTGTTTCGTTTCGTTAGGAAATGTTTCACCAACATTTTCAGTGTCAGCGGTCACGCTCATTTGTGTCAAAGCATCCTTGTTTCCCTTGCCATATTTTCTGTTACGTGTATTTTCATCAATCAATCGAACATACAAACACATGCACTGAGAAAGTGTCGGCAGGCATTGTGATGCGGTCACCTGTGTATACACCACACAGGTAAATCTACAGGTAAACTCGCTCACATCATCATCTACACGTGTAACGCTGTTATTGTTTTAGTGTGTTGTTGCTTCGCTCATCAGTGCCACATGTTGACATTAACAGGTAAGACACCTCTCCATCAGGTAAGTGTTGTGGAAACAAAGCCGAAACACCTTCTCAATCAGCACCGTACAGGTGAGTATTGTCCCAGGTGAGAAGTACATGTCACACCTGATTGTTTTGTTTCAAGGCGCTGATTGAGACAGGTAACGTGATTACCTTCAGATACTCTTTGACACGACAATAATGGCATTTAAATCTATCAAAACGAGTACTAAGTGTTTTAGCTTGTAAAAGCAGCAGATTCTTTTTAAAATATTGTTTGTCAACAACATTAATTATATTCTGACGTAAGTAAATTTAAATAATCAGCGAAGATCATTTAAACAAATCCGAAACATAAGTTTATAATATTATGTGAAATAGATTATAAGAATGTAGATTAAAATAATATTCTGTTTTGTCCGTATTATTTGGCATTGTCGCTTTCATTACATCACTATATCTATGTCAAGTATGTACATGGGCCGATGCCCTAAAACAAATATACTGTATGGCATTGTAAAGGTAATGGCAAAGATATTATAAAAAGTACAAAGTTTTAATTAACTGTTTAGATAAATCTTTTTTCTAATGGAAATAAATTACATTTGTTTCCTAACTGTATTTCTAAATAAACATCATAGGAAATAACAATCGCAATAGCTGAGCTCACTTCATTAGTGAATTGAGTAAATAGAACTCACTTCATTAGCAACCTTAACGGAGAGCCGGGGCAGGGGGGAGGGAGGGGGGGACTCTACTGTCACAACACTGATACTCAAACATAACAGCTTCAGTAATTACAACCCTGTGTTGTTATGGGATTTACCGGCGTAAAAACACATTAGGGCTGCTTTTTAGGAAATCACCACGTTTTGTACAGTGCGGCTTTGGTTTTCGCTGCCTTTGGATATTTAATAGTTTCAATATGCTTAATTTATGAAACACTGCCATTAACATTATACAATTTAGTCTTCTTTTGTTTGTCGACTGTGATAATTATATGGTCATACGTAATAACAGCATGCTAGAACATAACGGCACGCCATAATTATAACACTTAAAGTAATGCCGTATTTTCATACAGTAAAAATGTGTTGATGTTATAGTGACACCCTTCAGATGCTCTTTGTTCCTGTAAAATTCAGCTTGCTTCTGTATGTTAAGTATTGTGATAGAACACGTCGTCAAATTCAGATCGATAATATTTCTTTAAAATAGATATTTCAAGGTGTAACCTTGAAACAGCAGTGTTTTCGTCATACAATGTATTTTCAGAAGCGAGTCATTATTACCAAGGAAGTAAACAACACCGTTACGGAATAATATGTGATTAGTAACGGATTAGAGGCTGTTACGGGGCTCTGATCAGGCTAAATCCGTAACGTACAATATACGTTGATACATGCGGGATGCAAATATTCCGATCCGGTATTACCGTAATATATTCCCTGCTATATAAGTATTTCATATATATCCGGTATATCATGCGGAGTCTTGTCTACCGTTGTCTAAATGTATATATCCCATCTGTATAGATAGAAATTCATCAGTGTTAAACTATCCTGATTATGTATGTGAAATATACATGACATACACGTTGTGTATATGTACATCTGTCAATATCTGGTACTGACACGCGCGTGCTCGGAAGTCTTTTGAAGATATCGATCGTATTTCTTGAGAGAAAATCTCGACCTCTACTGATCCGTCAAACAATTAATCAATACCACCGTTTTCCATTCATAACGTTATGTTTGGGTCAGCTGAAAATAAGTTATAGCTTGATGCATAGCTCTATGTCACTATGTGGTACACACGAGTGAATGTGAATTTTAACGCTAAAAACCTGTGTCATAAATTCTGTCTGTAGTACATGCAGGATAATAGTATTTTGAACGAACACTTATAAAATCCATTCTGCATTGGGTAATAAAGATAAAATTTCTTCTATTAATTGAAATTGACATTTCTGTAGAATTATGAACGTGATTATACCTATTGTATGTCTGTCTGAATATTTCAATCAACCTCTTAATTGAAAACTTGTACTTGATCATTTTCTCTTCTGTCAAAGACTTCATCACTCTTTGTCATTTGGGAATACAAATTCCAATATGTCATAGATAGAAGAAAGGATTTGAATCAGTTCATAATTCTATTGCTTAATATGTATTGATCGACTAACATGCTTCTTTATAAAATATTTTTAAATGACAAATTTTGTAGTAGTACCTATAAATTAATTTAAGGGTAAATACACTCGTGTTACGAAATGGTAATTATATAGGTGAAATTGCCCTTTAATTGATCCTTATTTTCATTTTGTGAAACGAAATATAGTTTAAAACACTGTCATGAATGTAACTGATTCATGCACGCCTTCTGGTCCATGTGCATGTTGTCCAGTTTGAACTGTGTGTGCTATCTGTACAATCTGTTCAGTATGTACAGTTGGGGCAGATAATCAAAGCAGGGTGTAACCTGCTTCTAAATCAAATCCCGATCATTTTGTACACAGATGTTATTTGATTATACCGATAATACCGATCGTCATTAACTTCGCAAATATATGTGATACATACCGTGATTTTATTGTTTTATAGGTTTATAATCATAATTTCGTTTAAAGAAAAAAACATTCCGGGGTTACTATTTCCCCGCCTGGCAGTGAATGGAAAGAAGCCTGCCATACACGTCGGGGAAAGTTAAGGAAACCTATACACACAAAGATGTGATGTAACGGTCTGTTATACCGTGTGATGTAGGTTAATCCTGCTGGGAGGGAGATCTACACCATGGCGTGTCACAGGTTGGGTATATATGATATAGATTTGGTACAGGTACAATAAGTAAAAATAACATTATTGCCTTTGGTCATATTGTCTAGGTACGTTAAAAACAAACTAGGTTCTGCATATGACTATAGTTAATATGTTT